CCGTTTTAAGCGTTTATGTGGTGATTATATTTAACCATTGTTAACAGCACAGTAAGGCAGGAGTGTGTCCCATTTTACCACTCAGGAAACACAGGCCCAGGGGGTGACAGTTTTGTCAAAGGTCACCCTGTTTGCAGTAGTTCACATTCAGGTAGTGCTTGGGGGTGCAGAATGTATCATTTCATTTGACCTTTGCATTTACCCCTGAGGAGGCAGAGCCGCTGCTGTCCCCCGTATGGAACGAGGAAATCGAGGCTCCCGGAAGTGAGGCCCCTTCTTAATGCTGACACATCCAGTTAGTGTCGCAGCTCTGGTGGAGGCCGTGTCTTCTGATGCTCCGGGCCAGCATCCTTTCCACCACACCAGGCTGCATCCCAGGTTATGCACAAGAAAACTAAACAGGGACCGAATGGGACTTCTGCAACCTCTTCAGTCCAAACTGGAAGGCCGTTGCCGGCTGCAGCAGAGAGCCCTACAGAGGGCAGAGAGCCGCTTACCGATAGGCCTGTGAGCAGGGCCAGCAGGCCCGAAGCAGGGCTGTGTCCGCTTCGTGTGGAAGGACTTAGAGATGTGCCGGCCCTTCCCCACAGGCTGCCCTTCTCCCCACAGAGGCCGGAATGCCACTGTCTTTGCATTTCATGGTACAGGCTTTTCTGGTCACTCTCCCCTGCCTCTGGGAATCCTCATGCCGGTGTTATCTTTCTTACTCTGGTGACTTTTCCCTGTCAGCCCCTCAGCCAGCCTCTCTGGAGCATCAGCTCTTTAGAAAATTGCTCTCTGCATCTGTGTTTTTTATTTTGAAACTGGATCCTTGATTTGCTTCCTTCCTTCTCCCCTTCCATCCCTTTTTTTTTTCTTTATAAATTTATTTATTTATTTTTGGCTGTTTTGGGTCTTTGTTGCTGCATTGCAGGCTTTCTCTAGTTGCAGTGAGCGGGGGCTACTCTTCGTTGTGGTTCGCGGGCTTCTCATTACGGTGGCTTCTCTTGTTGCAGAGCATAGGCTCTAGGCACACAGGCTTCGGTAGTTGTGGCTCGCGGGCTCTAGAGCACAGGCTCAGTAGTTGTGGGCTTAGTTGCTCCGCGGCATGTGGGATCTTCCCGGACCAGGGCTCAAACCCGTGTCCCCTGCATTGGCAGGCGGATTCTTAATCACTGCAGCACCACGGAAGTCCCATCTAAATGCTTTAGATTCATGTTACCACATCGGTCTTCAGACAGCCCCAGTGAGGGCAGGTTCATTATTATTCCCATTTTATTGACGAGGAAACTCAAGGCCCAGATAGGTTAGGTGAATGTCCCCAAGGTCATACAGCTGATACGTAGCAGAATCAGGATATTCTTCACCCCTGTGCTGTACTGGGGGCACTGACTGTGTGCCAGGCACTATTCCAGGACTTTCTTAACTCAGTCCTCACAGCAGCCCTAGGAAGCACAGGTTCTTCCCTGTGCAGTGATGTTGAACTGTTTGCCGAGGACCATCACAGTAAAAGGCCCGGGCAGGATTTGAACCAGCGTCTCTTTGGCTCCAGAGCCCATGGTCCATCCAACTGCTTGTCTTTGCTGTCTTTTTGACTTCCGGCCTCATAGACAGCTCTGCTTTGTTAGACCATAAACCCTTCGAGAGCGGGACCTGGGTTTAGTTGTCCTTCCCCACTTGCCTGGTAATGGGCCTGCGTTATGGTGGCTACTCAAGAAAAGTGCTGCACAAGTGAGTAACCGAGGTAGTGAGATGGGTTAGGTGCCTGGATGAAATACATAAGCCTCATTGAGGGAACCACAGAACCTGCCAAAAGTGAGATAAAGAAAGGGACGGAGAGTTTCCTCATTTTTAAAATCATATAATAAACGTTTTGTTCCATCATTTGTTCCATCTCCTCGCCATCCAAGGAAAAGATGCATGAAGAAGCTAGAGAAAGGAAAAGATGAAGTCCTATTATGAGCTCTCATGTTTAAGACAGGAAATGCTGCTTATATCCAGAGCCTCCCATCACTCCACGCCTCATTAGGGATTTAGAAAACACACTGCTTAATCTCCGTCATTCAGGCAGTGAAGGTTTTACTATCCTTGTGGGAAGACCCAGCAGCCCGTGGTCACAGTGCCCCCTGGAGACAGAAGGTGGAATTACCACTCTTTC